GAGGGAATGTTTTAGTTTTAAAAATATAGTAATGGGGGTTGGAGAGACTGCTCAGCAGTTAAAAGCATTTGTTTCTTGCAGAGGACCTGGATTTGGTTTCCAGCACCCACATGGTGTCTCACAACCATCCGTAACTCCAGTTCCAGGAAATATGGCACCCTCTTCTGACTTCCATGAGCACTAGGCACTCATGTGGTGCATATACACACATGCAGGGAAAATATTCATGCATATAAAATAAATCTAGAAAAATTAATATAATAACTAGGGCTTGGGGAGATGGTCGACGGATAAAGTTCTTGTCACGCAAGCATGAGGGTTGGAGTTTGTACCCCAGCACCCACAGGAAAGCTGGGTAGGCACAGCAGCCACTGGTAACCCCAGCACTTAGGAGGCAGAGACAAGGACAAGCTGGCTAGCTAGACTATCCAGAACTGCTGAGCTCTGGGTTCATTGAGCAAGAGAACCCACCTCAATAAATAAATACATGACCAAGGAAGACAGTCAAGGTCTACTTCAGACCTTTAAATAAGTACACATACATGCATGTGCACCTGCAAATACAAGTGTACCTACATACAGGCAAACACATATATGTTGTGGTGGTTTGGATGAGAATGGCCCCGTGAGCTCTGATGTTTGAATACTTGGTTCCCAGTTGATGGAACTGTTTGGGAAGGATTAGGAGGTGTGGCCTTGTTGGAGGAGGTGTGTCACTGGGGTGGGCTTTGAAATTTCAAAGGATTCTTGCCATTCCCAGTGCGCACTCTCTCTCTGTCTGCTACTTGTAGATCAAGATGTGAGCTCTCAGCTGCCCAGCTATGATGAACTCTGACCCTCTGGAACCATGAGCCCGATTAAACACTTGCTTGTAAGTTGCCTTGGTAACTAAGACATATGTGCATCATACTGTCTTGCTCTCCCGCCCTTCCATGGAAGAGACAACAAAAGCCTTCAAAGAGTAAACAGGACACAAATGAGGAAGCAGGATCCACAGAAGATACAAGGAGGAGTGCCAGGCACAGCACACATCCTCAATGTCTTGAGAAGAATCAATACTCACAGGCCCGTGCTCTGACCTCATGTGATACGCAAGCCCAGCCTTTGACCTGTATGGTTTTCCACAGTGGTGACATTTCAGGGTCAACTTCTCCAGCTCGGCTGCCTCTTTGCCACATTTTCTAACATGGTACAGATATCCCATGATGCTGGTGAAGGTACTGGAACAACTCTGAGCATAGGGAAGACGCCTATGTTAGATTTATACATGTTTCACATGATCCCTCAATTTCTCAGAAATCATCATGCACCACAAACCACAAAAAGACAGTGAGACTACAAGATGCTCACCTGCATTTCCCATTGGCACAACCCTCCTTCTCCTAGGCAACCCTGTCTATGAGCCATATTGTCAATCAGTTCACTGATCACTGAGAAAGTATAACCACACACCTACTCTGTGTCAGAGCTTCCTTCTTGGATTGTGACCCAGTCCCACCCCAGTATCAACTACCCAGCAACAAACAGTTCATCATAGTATGAGATCATGGGAATCACCTTCATCCCGCTAAAGAAGCAGCCCCTTTGTGGGGCTGGAGAGATGGTTAAATGGTTAAGGCCACTGACTGCTCTTCCAGAGGTCCCAAGTTCCCTTCCCAGCACCCACATGCAGCTGACAACTGTCTGTCACTCCCAGATCCGACCCCCTCACACAGACATACCTGCAGGCAAAAAACCAATGCACATAAAATAAAAGTAAATGAAGAAGAAGAAGAAGAAGAAGAAGAAGAAGAAGAAGAAGAAGAAGAAGAAGAAGAAGAAGAAGAAGAAGAAGAGGAAGCAGCAGCAGAAGAAGTAGCTGCAGCAGCCCTTTTGAGCAAGGGGGATGAGGGAGAATATACTTGTGAAGAGGAGAAAAAATAAAGAACTATCAATGACTACAAGAGATCTGAAAACGTAGGTACCATCTGACGCCATCAGATGGCAGAGGAGGAATTCTGCAAGGGAAGAGGAGGACGGATGGGAAAGAACAACAGACAGACAGACCTGAGACTCCGGGGAGAAGGATCTGCTGCCCCGGGCTCTTACCTCACGCATGCACCTGAGCTTTCCCATTCTCTTTAGAACTGTTCGCAGCCGCTCCCTCTCGCTTGGCTCATCTACTTCGTCTCCTGCCTTCAAAATTGGCTGAAAAAAAAAAAGATTAAACATGATTTACGGAACAAAAACATAACAGCACCCCCACTTCCAGATGGCATGAAGTAAGTACAATGGACACACAAGTTCTCATCTCTACCTCCCAGTAGAGGATTAACCTAAACAAATACCCTATGGTCCAGCGCTAAGATTTCACCCTATGCAATTCCAGCAATGAAGAGTCTTACCTCCTCTATTATGAGGTACAAGGGCCAGATCCAGCTTCATTGAGCTGTCTATACTCACTAAGTAAGAGACACATAAAACATCACAACAGCAGGCCAGCCAAGATGGAGGAAGCCAGGGATCTACTGAACTCCTTGTCCCTGCATCTTCATAGCAAGGATCAGCAGCATCAAGTGGGGAAATATTTCAGGACGGACTGCTGATCCTGGCTCCCAAGCAACCTGAAGAAGCACCAGGTGTGCATATACTGAGTACATGCAGCAGCCTGCATAAACTCTGCTGCAGCAGCAACAAATGATCTGAATGCAGCCACGGGAGCTGGGCTGTAAATCCTCCTCAACGTCTGGCTGAAAACCTACAAGATGCTTCTCTGCGGCAGGAAAGACCCCAGTGGTGGTGTGCTCCACCCTGAGAATTGGACCCACAGAGGCCAGCTTCTCTTACTGTGTCCTGGGCTGCAGCACCCAGGATTTCCTAGTTGCCATAGCTGCAGCCTGGCCTTAGGTCTCCTATATGCCCAACCTTCCAGCAGATACTGTATCCTCCCCGGGTTCCACAGAGCTCTTCTCAGCCTTCCAGAGATTCCTGGTCTCTTGCTTGACATCAGAGTACCAAGAGGGAGGTGGCATTGCAGACATGGAAAAACCACGCTTAGGATGATTCTTTTGTTTTCTTTTTTAAAGATTTATTTTATTTATTTGTTCACTCATTTGTTTGTTTGTTTTTTGAGACAGGGTTTCTCTGTGTACCCCTGGCTGTCCTGGAACTCACTCTGTAGACCAAATTGGCCTTGAATTCACACGGGTCCACCTGTCTCTGCCCCCAAGTGCTGGATTAAAGGTGTGCACCACAACACCGGGTGATTTCTTTTCTTTTTGATTATGTGCATATATTTGTGTAGGGATATATAAACGTGAGTGCTAGTACCTGTGGATGTAGGAGCTGTCAGATCACCCGAGAACTGGAGTACAGGCAGTTGTGAGCTGCCCGATGTGGGTGCTGAGAACAGAACTCAGGTCTTCTGCAAGAACACTACATACTCTTAACCAGTGAGCCGTCTCTCCAGCCTCATCAGCCCAGGATGTTTCTGACTCTTTAGGGAACCCTGTAGGTCCCAGGGAGGTCTTCCTGTTGAGCAACTTCTGTGTCTTATACGCTCTGTCCCTCTAAATTGCTAGAGATAGGCCTCTGCCACTTTCACTGAGCTGACCCAAAACTATTGTTAATGTCCCCACAACTCATCATGTCGTCTGTGGATTTCTAGTCTAGAAGTGGAGTTGTTGCTTGTGAGTGTATTTCCTTCCATGGATAACTGCCCACAAGCTCTCTGGGTGTCCCAGGCTATTGTCCCCCATTCCTATCATTCTGAGTTAAAAAAAACAAAAAAACAAAACAAAAAAAAATTGTCTTGGTTGAGACAAGGTTTCACCATGTGGCCCAGCCAGATGGCCAGGTGTAACAGCAATCTCCCACCTCAGCTTCCTAAGAGCTGGAAGGGCACAGGCCTGTGCACTGTGAAACTTTTGAAGATTTTCCTCCCTTCTTGCCATAGTTTTAATATTCATTGCCCTGGTGACCAATGGATTGGACATTCTCACATGTTACCTGAATATCTGAAATGCTCACATGCAGCTAGGTGTGATGGTAATACCAGCGTTTGAGAGGTAGAAATAGTAGGATTAGGAGTTCAAGGTCAGCCTCAGCAACACAGGGAGTTTGCGGCCTGTCGTGGGTGGCTGTTTGTGCCTTGCCCTGAAGCACCGCCCCGAGTGAGGCAGCAGGTAGCTGCGGGGGACCTGCCCCTGGGCCATGGCCACCAGGGACCCTTAAGACCTGGGATGCATGTACGTATGTGCGCTCTCTTCTCTTCGCTACCTTGTGGTCTTGGATGCTGGTGCAGATCAAGGCAGAACTCTCCTGAGAACCCCATTGGACCGTGCCCCACCCCTCCAGGATTCCACGACCAACTCTTTAATTCTGGTTGTGAGTTAACCCCAAAATAAATTCCTTTGACCATCAAATAGACTCTGTGGATTTCTCCCATTATCTGGTGCTCATGTGGGGCAAACTCCAAATGCCCGGGTGGCCTCTGTCCTCAGCCTCCATGGCTGCTGTGGCACACTTTCCACACTTCCTTGTCTCTTTTAAACTACCTGCTCCTCCTGGGGACTCAGTGCTTACCCATTTGGCCCAGTCGTGGGCATCAATTCCCTATTTTGAGTTACTAGTTGCACCTTACACACTCCTCCCCCCAAGCCGGGTCCTGTATAGCCTCTGAGTACACCTAGTGTGTGCAGGCGTGAGAAGAGGTGGCTGCCTGCCCACCCCTGGCTTCCCGGGTCCTGCCTGCAGCTGCCGCTGGCCATTGCTAAACTTGTTCGATGGGTCTTCAAAGCTAAAACAGGTCAGGGTCTTCGGCAGGACCTGCTTCAGTGCGGCATCTACACTTGCTGGCTGACCAGCGTTACACCCAAAAAAACATCTCAAGAACTGAAAGACCAGCAATCAAGGATTTCATCCAAGGTAAAAGTACTTGATAATTTTATACCTTAAAACTGATTAATAACTAAACAAATTAATAACATTTTCTTTACAAATTTTGAATATTCTCAAAAATGGTGGAAAATATTACATCACAAGAATTAAAAAAAATTTTTTGCTTGTATGATGAATGAATTTTTACAGGACATATACAAACTTCTGAGTTGTATCTAATATTCACTATTATGGTATTTAGCATAATAATTCATATCATATAACTGGAAAATTGGCTTAATAATGATAACAAAAATAAGGCATTAATGAGACTGATGTAAGCTTTACAAGATAGTAATGAAGACTTAAGTAAAAGGATTCTTTCTTTGGAATCTGCCAATTTACCACAAGAACTTCAGTCTATTAATAATAAATGAACAACCAGATTTGATTCTATTGATAATAAGTATGAATACTTAATGGATAAAACAATGACTCTCCAGAGCAATGTTACCACTACTCAGATAATATTCATTATTATTATTATTAAGAAATTTTCTACTCATTTTACATACCAACTACAGATCCCCCCTCCTCCCTCTTCCTGTCCCCAGCCTTCCCCCTCAACCCACCCTACTCTGATAATTTATAAAGAAGAAAGTTTATCGCTAACTGATAAACTAAGGTCTATGGAATCGTGTTTCAGAAGAACATAAAAGGTTGCATGATTCCATGAAATCTCTAGAATCCTTTACAACAGAGGAGGTTCAAATGCTGCAACAGACCATAGTTACTCAGTTGCAAGTTCTGGAAGAATCTCTCAGTAAAAATGACAAATGACAATAGGCAGAAGGGCAAGGCCATACAAGTCACAACATTGCCAGATAGCTAACATACAATGGCTTATCCTGTCACCATCCATGAGAGGCCAGCAGATGATAGACATCCTGAGCCATATGTGGAATATATGTTACAACCTATTCCTATGAGAGATTTAGAAAACGTTAAGGAAGTGGTGGTCACCTATGGTACACACTCAACATATGTAAAACTGATGTTAAATATGTGGTCTTCCATAAATAGAATCATACCAGATGATTGGAATCAGTTAATCTCAGCTGTTTTAAAATATAGCCAGTAGTTATAATCGAAAAGCTGGGTGGGTGAGAGAGGAAGCTAGGATCTTGGAACAGCAAGGTAAGACCAGAGGTTTTGAGAGCTCCCAAGATCAAATTATTGGCGAGGGACATTTCATTGATAGAAATATACAAGCTACTTTTGATGAGCATACATTATCCCTATGCCACACAGTAGCTCTAAATGCTTGGGGGAAATTCCAGAATCAGGAAAACCAACTGAGCAATACACAAAAATTTTCCAAGGCCCACAGAACCGTTTACTGATTTTTTTTAACAAAGGCTGACCACAGCTATAAAAAAGGCAGTGTCAGATAAAGAACTAAAACAAGTATTAACTGACCTTGGGGTTTAACAACTCTAATGCAGAATGCAAAAGAATACTTATACCATTAAAGGTCAGGTCAGCACCTTTGGAGGAATGGATTCAATATATAGACATTGTTGGGCCTCTTAACTATGGTAATGAGACTTGTAGGAGAGGCAACTTCCAGAGGTGGAAGGAGGCCTTGAAGTACCAAATGTTTTAACTGTGGTACACCAGGTCATATGAGAAGAAATTGTACACGGGGTGCTCCTAGAAGCAATACTCCTAGAAATAACCCAAATGAGAAACCCCAACCTTCTGGATTATGCAGAAGGTGTAGTAAAGGCCAACACTGGCCAATGAATGTAGATCAACAATAGATAAATAAGGCAAGCCGTTACTGGTGGGAAATGCCTTGGGGGGCCTCTTGCAGGCCCCAACCTGAACATAGTCCAAACATTTCCAGCCACTGTGGAGGAAATTCCTCTCCAGGACAATTAAAGAACCCTGTGTCTAATGTAAAGAATAATACTGCACTGGATGATAGAACTGCTCTGAGAGATGAATCAAAAGTTCCAAAAAAACACCATAAAATGAGTATTTTGGCAGACTTCCATAAATAAACAAAGACCAAATCTTAGAGTACGAATTAATGGAGTTGTTCTGGAGGGCCTGGTAGACACAGGTGTAGATGTGACCATAATTACACTAAAATCAAGGTATCCGAATTGGCCTCTTCAAGGGGTAAACATCCAATTTCTAGGGGTTGAACCCTATCTCAGGTAAAACTAAGTTCTAGATGGGTTGAATGTATAGGGCCAAAAGGACAGAGAGGAAGGCTGAAGCCATATGTGGCAAATGTAGCAGTGAATCTTTGGGGCTGAGAT